ATAGCATGTGACTGCCAAAGGATGGAATCTGTCTCCATGTCAAAGCCATTTGTCTTGTGCTCAAAAGGTCATGGTTCATTTCATGGCTGAACCATTTGATTCAGGGGTACAATTTTTACGGGGATTCTTGCATTTGTCACTAGAGCTACAGTGTTGTGCTTTGTGTGACACCATCGGCAGATGGTTAGCTATTCTGCAGAGACAAACAGAGCTTTATGGCAAAAAAGCTAATGCAATGAAGTCCATCCTCTCGACTTTAACCTTTGTAACGCTGATATACATTCTTCTTCTTAAGTTCCACGGTGTGTGGCGTTGGTAGTCATATCTGTCCATAATCTTCTGCCTTGTGAGCTTTCAATCAACTCTGACACAGATGATCTTCCATGTCATGATGTCAAACTGTCCAGCATCTTCTATCCTGGTCTCACTCTGCCTCTCCTTCCCTCAAATTTTTCCACTGCCACAATCTACTTCAGTATTCTTCTTCTCATGACATAACCAAATAATGTAGATGGTCTCCCACAGATGTTGGCAATCAGTTCTCTTTCTTAAGTCCTTTTTTTCTGCAAAACATATTCATTACTCTATTTATCTGTCCAGAGTATTCTCATTATTTATTTACAAAACCACATTTCCAGAGAATTAAAATAATTTTTCACTAATCGACCAACAGTCCACGATTCACTTCTGTATAACAGGATAGGATTTATATAGCTTTTACAAATTATCTTTCTCATCTCAACTGACAAAGAAAGATTGTATAGAATATTCTTCATTTGATACACATTATAAACAGCATTTTAACACACTGTCTTATTGTAGGGGACATGAAATGTTGTAAAGTTCAGCCTTACACTGTTCTCTATTGTCTAAACCATCTGACTACCAAAGGATGTCCTGGTTGTCCATTCCTTGATAACTTGTATTTCGAATTGTGCTTGCTGAAGGTGTAACCACCGAAGAATCTTCAGTCTCTGTGTATGGCGGTGGAGGATCATAATTTAGTTCTGTATAAGGCGGCGGAGGATCTGGAAATACAGAATCTGGATAAAGTCCGAATCCGGCAAGGTAAAAATGTGTGACGTGTGAAAGTGAGGAGTTTGAAGAAATGAAGCTGCTGTTGCTACTAGAGTAAGAATTACTGTTGCCAGTAAATCCCCTACTTTGTACTCTTTGGCTAGGGGGGAAAATGGTGTTTACAGAAAAAGAGTTGGTGCTGTCATTATCCGACGATGTCTGAACATCACTGTCTTCATTATGCACTGTATTGCCTCTGTCAGTATTAAGTGCATCAGAAGATAGTCCCCCAAACCTGTGCAAGTGATTTTCAAGCCAACAGTTATGAGAGAAATCATCATATGTGGTCTGTCCAGATAAGACAGATTGGGCATTGAATCCAGCCAAACATTTTGGAGTGAATTCAATAAGTTTATCAAAGTGGCCTAACCTCGCAAAGCTGTTGGCGAAATTCCAGTTTGTGCTAGAAATTATCGGCAGCTGAGGCCACATCCTGGCATCATCTCTAAGGTTGTTGAAATATTGACCTGGGAGTATCGTGTCTGCTACAGCTAATGAGCTGGAAGCATTCTGTGACCCTCCTACAAGTCCAGGAATGTAGCGATGGGTTTGTCTGCTACCTCTCAAGCGTGACACAAATCTGTGCCAGATTCTGCGGTGATTATCCATTTTTGTGACATCTAACAAAACTGTACACCGACTAATACCAAAAACTGTTTCTGAAATGAAAACAATAAAAATATTTTATACGTTTGAAATGTTAACATCTTTTTAAAATAAATTAAAACATGATTTAAACACTGAAATTAATTCATCGTTTTATATTGGATTTGTTAATCAATGGATGAGAACAAGATTTTTGTGTTTGACAGGACATAACCTGAGAAAACTATATAATAGTATAACTAGGATGTTTTTTCACTGGAATCTTCAGTTGCAAGGGAATAAGATAGATAAAAGACATATGGAAAAGGGGGGGGGGGGGGGGGGAATAATAAGATAGGAAAGAACATGAGGTGAGCTGCAAATGATGGAAAAGAAAAGGATGAATTGGCACAAACTTATTGAAGGCTTATGCTCCATTGGGGGATCTTCTTTGTCTTCATGTTCACCAGCTGTAAGCATGAACTGACTGATAGCTTTTGCTCTATTGAGGTATCTTCACAGGAGTGGAAGATCGTAACAACAGAGATGAGATGTCTTAGGAGAGCTACCAGTGTGACAAGAAGAGATAAAATCAGAAATGAAGAAATTAGAAGAAGAGTAGGACTGAAAGAAGTCATACAATTCATTAAAGAACAACAAATGAGATGGTTTTGGCTAACGACGAGAATGCCCTGGTACCAACTACCACAGAGAGCCACGCTGAAGACCTCGCAAGAGATGGAGCGACATCATTAAGAGTAACCTAACAAAAATAAACACCAACTTGTACAATGCATTGGAAAAAGTGCAGAAATGATCCTTACATCTCCCGCCAACACCTCGATGAGGTAAATGGTGGAAGAAAAAAAAAGAAAAAAAGGGGGATCTTCTTTATCTTCATGTACACCAATTGTAGGCACGGACTGATTGAAGGCTTATGCTCCACTGGGGAATCGTCTCTCTTCTATTCACCAGCTGTAGGCCTAAATTAAGTTCTGGTTGTTCATCCACTTCTGGACTCTGGTCCAGAATCTAAGTGTTGCATGCACATCCATTTTACAGATCTGACTCATGTGTATGCAGACTGTTTGTTCATTGCCTCTCAGATATATGCACTCCGACTCTTACGTATGCTTTTAAGTCTATTCTTGTTTTCCCCACAGTGACAATGGGGCCCTGGAACCCACCCAAGGAACACTGGAGGATAAAGAGAAGATCAAAGATACTCTTCTTCTTCTGTCTGTTTATTGCAGCTCACAGTTAGTCTGTGTTAGCAACATTCCTCAAAATGTAAATAGTATTGCTTCTAATGCTGGCTTCAAAAACAGCAGCAGGCAACTTTGCAGCATACAGCTTTGCATTCTTTTCGACATTGTTATCGAGGGCCAGAGGCAATGGCAAACTACTGAACGTAAATATTCATTGAAAAGCCACATCATCATCCTCATCAAGTGCCTTGCCAACTGGCGTGGGCGATCATGCCTCCTCAGAATCTGGGATCTGCAACTGCGTGTATCAGTTCGTGTGTTGACATCCCTCCATGCCACGACAAAAGACTGTCAAGAATCTTCTCTCGTTGTCATCCTCTGTCCCCTTTTCCACAGATCTTTCCAGTGGTCACAACATGTTCCATTTTCCCTCTTCTCATAACATGACCACAAAATGATGACTGTCTCTTTCTGATGTTTGTGATAAGTTGTATCCGAGCACTCGCCTCTTTCAAAACATCTGGGTTGCTCTTCCTAGCTGTCCTAGGAATTCTAAGGATTCTTCTGTAAAACTACATCTCCGCGGCCTCAAGATATTGTTAGGCTTGTTTATTAATTGTCCAGGCTTCACAACCGTAAGTTAAAACTGGTTCTATATAGCATGGGAGAATTGTTTTCCTAGCCTCCAATGACACGGGTTTATTGGATAAAATGTTCTTCATTTTGGCCTGTCCTGTTCTATTCTTTATCTCTGTGATGTATCTTACATCAGATGTGCCTCATCATGTAGCAGGTCCTTTGCAGAAAGTCACTCTCATCATGGTCCGCCTAAAAGAAACTTAGTCTCTTGTCAGCTCTCCCGCCTCATGTACTTTCATACTCAAGAAGTCACTTATATCCTGTGCCCATCTTCGTGTTGGTCGACCCCTGCACCTCCTTTCTGGTACCATGCTTATTGCTGTAATTTTTTTCAAATTTGTCGTGCCGCTTGATATGACCAAAATATTTCAGCTTCCGAGACAGAATGCTGTTTATTAGCCAATCTTCCTTGATTTTCAGATCTTTGAAGATGTCAGTATTTTCCATGTGCCTAGATACTTCGATTTCTGTACTTGTCCTAAAATAACGCTTTTGACATTTATTTTACATTCAGGCACTATTCTTTTTTTGGAAATCACAATTACAGCTTTCAAATGCTGGAGAGTTCTGCAATGTCAGCTAACTAAAGTTCACTTGAAATAAATTATCTGCAATGCTGTCTCTAGTATGCACTTCACTGTCACTTAGCGGCCCAACTTTCAACAGTAAATACTTATAAAACAGCAAATATTCGTTACATAACTTCATGGTATAGACTTTGAACCATGGATTTCTAAAGCTAATTAAAATAACAGTTTTTCATTTATTTTTAATTAACAGATGGGCAGCTGAAGTTACGGTTTTCACCCCAGTTGAGTTGAGACAAGAATTGACATCACAGCACTCTGGGCATTACCATGTGTGCTCTGTCCTCATCTTCAGTAGCCAGCGCAGAGTTCCAATACTGATGGTACCGGTCACAATCTGGTTGTATGGTCGCCTTGCCTTTCCTCTGGGTGTAGTGAGCCGGCCAGACCCTCTGGTTACACCCAGGTACCCCATTCTCCCTAGGCTATAATAATCTTGTTTCTTTACTATTCCGTTGGTTGTTCTCAAAGTCCAAAGGGTTTTCACCCCAGCGTTTACTTCCGATTTCAGTATCAGAAATATCAGATTAAGAAAGAACTTTGGAATGTTGAATGAACAATCGGCATCATAGCACTCGAGACACTCCATCCCCATCTTCAGCAAATGTTTCAGAACGAACTTCAGAAAGTAAGTAAACAAACGCTAAAGATTGCTATTTAAACAATTTAAAAGAATGGACAGACATCATATCCGGCCCACCTAATTATAAATGCTCCGTATCTTGCACGAAATGACTTAAAATGAAAATTCTGACCGTAAAAGAACTTTAATGTCAGTTTTTCTTCTAGTTCTTCTCTTTCCACTTCATTTCTGTCTTCTCTTCCTGGAACCGCTATAAAATATTTTGGTTCGTAAAAAATAATCCCAAATTTACAAGCCGTTCACGTGACTTTCAAGTTCAAAATGGCGGATGGTCCGAACCCGTTCGAAGATACAAACATTGGGAACATGGATGAAGATATAGAAGATAGCAGTGACTTCACCACTCGTTTCTCACCTGCCGAGCCCCAAAACAGGGCTCGACCAGAAAGCGCAGACCCTTCCTGGGATGGCATAGCGGCTAAATTACTTCGGGATAATTATATTTTAACGGCTCTGGAACTGTATACAGAGTTTATCGAGTCCGGAAGAGATCTGCCAAGACTACGGGATTACTTCTCGAATCCTGGAAATTTTGAAAGAACGAAAGAAGATATACCGTCGCCAACCTTGCGTAAGCATTTGATTACGTCATATGTGTATAAACTAACTGGCGCTTACGGACGAGGGAGATAACAGTCAGCTATTATTAAGATTAATTATTGATTAAAAATTACTCAGTATTGTGCTAATCATCAATAAATGAAAATGAGGTGCCGTCTCCACAATGAAGGTTGGCTGCAATGAATCTCCAACAAGCCCTGTCTCTTGCCCTTGATATACACTAACTCATGAGACTGCTGTTCGTCCATCTCTTGATGTTATCCTCCTATTTGTAATGCTGTCTGCCTCTTGCTCGCCCACCTTGAACCTTTCCCTCTAGGATGATCTTTACAATACTGTTATGTCTTTTAATGTGGCCAAAATATTTCACTTGTCTCTTTTTTATTTCACCTAGCAACTCTTTTTTCATTCCCAATTTCCCCAGTACCTCTGTATTTGATAGCTTTTGTTTCCATGAAATACGACCTAATCTTCTGTATATCCACATCTCCAAAGAATTGATACGATTTTCCAGTTGTTTGTTCATTGTCCATGTCTCTGTGCCATACAGTAAGGTTGAGAATACATAACATTTGACAATTCTCATTTTTAATGTATTGCTTATTTCTCTTGATGTCAGTAACTTTTGCATGTTGTTGAAAATGTTTTTGGCCATCCCTATTCTTTTCTTGACTTCTGTTTCACTTCTGCCGTCACATGTTATTACTTGTCCAAGATATAAGAAATTTTTAACTTGTTCCAATTTCACCCCGTTCTCTGTGATATTCATTGTTAGCTGATTTTTTTCTTTGCTAAATATCATGGTTTTTGTCTTTTTAAAATTTATGTCTAATCCAAATTCTGCACTCCTTCTGTTTACTTGCAACTCTTGCTTACTCTCTGCTAGCAACACTGTGTCGTCAGCATATCTCAGATTGTTTATTATTCTACCATTGATGTGCACTCCTGGTAATTCTACAATTTCTTTAAAAATTGTTTCTGTACATAAGTTGAAAAAACTAGGCGACAGCACAAATCCTTGTCTTACTCCTCTCTTGATCTCTATCTGGGGTGAGCAGATGTTGTCATATCTTACTGTTGCTTCTTGCTCCCAGTATAAGTTTCTAATAAGTCTGATATCCTTTCCATCTAGTCCTATGTTTTGAAGAGCTACAATTAGTTGTTCATGTTGCACTCTGTCGAAAGCTTTTTTGTAATCTATAAAACATGCATAAATATTTTTCTGAACTTCTATATATTTTTCAGTCAACATCTTTAGACAAATTATGGTCTCTCGAGTACCACTGTTTTTACAGAATCCAAATTGCTCTTCAGAAACTTCTTTATCTATTTTATTTTGAATTCTTGCTTGTATTATCTTCAATATTGTGCTAATATAATGAATAACATTTTATGTACATGGTTTCCGTGACTTACGACGGAGTTCAGTTTTGACCAAAGGTCGTAAGAGTAAGTCGAACCTGGTTGTAAGGAATTAATTTTGCTACACTAATTCCGTTCAAACTGTAGTTCCAGACAGTTTGTGTGTGTCAGTCTCTATGTACTGTGTGTGTGTCACAGTATGTGTCTGTGTGTCTGTATGTATGGGTGCCTGAGTGTATGAATGTATGTATGTATGTGTGTCTGCGTATGTTAGTGTGTCACTGTGTTTGCTTGTCTCTGTGTGTGCATGCATTTGTCTGTATGCATTTGTCTGTATGCATGGATGCCTGTGTGTTTGTATGTGTGAGTGTTTGCGAGTGTTTATGAATGAAGTGGGTGTGTGTATATTTGTGAGTAATTGGTCATGTTTATATGGGTGTGTGTGTAGGCGCACGAGTGTTCATGCATTTTACCACCCATTCTTTTGTATGTTTTTTCTTTATAATATGCATATCCATATGAGAAAATAACATGCTTTATTGATAAAATACAACTACTGTTTGAAAGATGAATACTTGGAATGGCTGCATGTAAGATGGGCCTGTCTGCCCAATTTGTAACTCATTGGAAATAAAGTTTGTTTGTTTGTTCCATTCTATCTTATGTGAACCTTTTAATATGGGTGGAATCCAGTCCCACACCTTTAGTCTCTCTCAGCACCATTTATCTTATACTTTGTCCCAGGCATCCTCACTTCCTCAGTCTGTTTCTTATTACAGTGCCTGTTTGATGGTTCACTGCCGGCTTCTTCTCAAGATGTGCCCAGTATATTGTTGTCTTACTTGTCTTATTACTGTTCATGGAAGCAGTCCAGACATATCTCTTATTTCTTTGCCCATTTGAATTCATCCTCCCTTTGTGGCCCCAGTGCAGGATCAATAAAATGAGAATAATCTCACTGTCCCTTCCCCCAGCAACCATGGGGTAAAAGTCAATTAATTGGAAAGAAAAAGGGGGAGGGAGCTTTCTTCAAAGTTGGAGTGCCTCTTGATGAACCAAGAGTCTGCATACAAATAGGCCAGATCTGTAAAATGGATGTGTATGCAAAACTCAAGTTCTTAGACAAGACTAAAATCCAGAAGTGAACGAACAACTGGAACTTTTTGCTGGAGTTTACAACCAGTGAACATAAAGAAGAAGAATTCATCCTAATAAATGTTCAGAAATTTTTTTAGGGATTTCTTGAAATATTTGTATCCTGTAGATATTTCCATCAAAGGCAGTAAGTGGTGAGCTGTACATAACAATGTTATAATTTTTTGACAGCTCGAACGTCAAGTGTTCAGACTTTTGATTCGTTGGACTTTGCACGATATTCAGATGATGGTGAACGGCAGGTTGATGAGAGGGTGGCAGGTAATAGCATCATTTATTTTGCATTCTTCTGCTTCTTGTGATCTCTATCTGCTTTACACCGACAGACAAGTTTTTGTGATAACATTGACTTTTTTAAAATGTGTGTTGACTTCCCTTTTAGTTCCATGTATTCTGTGGCGAGCTCCACCAAGGGAAGAGGTCCCAGGGAGGACAGAAAACGTGCTATAAGGACACTATCAAAACTGCTGTCAGTTTTTTGTTTTGCATCAACACAGCGATGTGGGAAGCTTGTGCTCATGATCGTTCTGGATGGCGTACATCCCTCAGGCAGATTAGAAAGAACCATATTGCTAATCCCACACTTACTGTGGCTTCCACCTGTTGTCCGCACTTCTCAAGATCTTTGCAGGCTCGTATTGGACTAATCAACCACATTCGTACTCATAATCATTGATCATTGGGTGAATAGTGGTCATCATCCCTCGTGATGGGCGAGCACCAACAATTAGTTCCATAGAACTTTGAGTGCAATGTTGACTCATTGGGTCACTATTTCCTTGATGGGCTATATAAGGGACATTCTTGTAGGAAGTGATCTGCCATTTGCACAGACAGCTCACATGGGCACAGTGGTGAACTACTCAGACGAAGCCTCATTACAGTTTACATAATAATAGCATGGGGTTTCAGGACAGTTGCAGCGATCATTTGTATTTAGTATGTTTCTTCTCAGATGCTCAGCTCTCATCCTTTCTGCAATCATTTCTTCTTTTAATGTGTTTCTTCTCAGACGCTCAGCTCTCTTCCTTTCTGCAATCATTTCTTCTTTTAATGTGTTTCTTCTCAGATGCTCAGCTCTCATCCTTTCTGCAATCATTTCTTCTTTTATTATGGTTCTTCTCAGATGCTCAGCTCTCATCCTTTCTGCAATCATTTCTTCTTTTAATGTGTTTCTCAGACGCTCAGCTCTCATCCTTTCGGCATTCATTTCTTCTTTTATTATGGTTCTTCTCAGATGCTCAGCTCTCATCCTTTCTGCATTCATTTCTTCTTTTAATGTGTTTCTCAGACGCTCAGCTCTCATCCTTTCGGCATTCATTTCTTCTTTTATTATGGTTCTTCTCAGATGCTCAGCTCTCATCCTTTCTGCAATTATTTCTTCTTTTAATGTGTTTCTCAGATGCTCAGCTCTCATCCTTTCTGCAATCATTTTTTCTTTTAATGTGTTTCTTCTTCTTCTTCTTCTTCTTTCGTTCGCATGAAATAAATTGTCTATATCTGCAAAGCCGTCTCTTGTATGAATTTCACTGTCTTTTGTAATTCACTAAGCGGCCCGTAAAGTTTGACTTCCACAAGTGTCTCTTTTGGCCAAATGTTTTGCCTGAAAGCGTTGAATATGGGACAGTCTTGAAGGATGTGATCTGTTGTTTCAGGTGCCAGTCCACAAGTACACATGGCCGATTGGCCAATCTTAAATTTGTTGTACATGTGGGAGCGAAGTCTATTGTGCCCTGTTCTAAGGCGAAGGATAATAACTTGCTCTTGTCTGTCCATAAAATGGTAATCATCTTGTGCCAGTTTCGGTGGCATTCTGATTGATTTGATGATTCTCTTCTTCTGTTGATAAGAGACTGGTATGTCAGGTTGTTCTTCTCAGATGCTCAGCTCTCATCCTTTCTGCAATTTTTTCTTCTTTTAATGTGTTTCTCAGATGCTCAGCTCTCATCCTTTCGGCATTCATTTCTTCTTTTTTTATGGTTCGTCTCAGATGCTCAGCTCTCATCCTTTCTGCAATCATTTCTTCTTTTATTTTGGTTTTTCTCAGATGCTCAGCTCTCATCCTTTCTGCATTCATTTCTTCTTTTAATGTGTTTCTCAGACGCTCAGCTCTCATCCTTTCGGCATTCATTTCTTCTTTTTTTATGGTTCGTCTCAGATGCTCAGCTCTCATCCTTTCTGCAATCATTTCTTCTTTTAATGTGTTTCTCAGATGCTCAGCTCTCATCCTTTCGGCATTCATTTCTTCTTTTATTATGGTTCTTCTCAGATGCTTAGCTCTCATCCTTTCTGCAATCATTTCTTCTTTTAATGTGTTTCTTCTCAGATGCTCAGCTCTCATCCTTTCTGCAATCATTTCTTCTTTTAATGTGTTTCTTCTCAGATGCTCAGCTCTCATTCTTTCTGCAGTCATTTCTTCTTTTAATGTGTTTCTTCTCAGATGCTCAGCTCTCATACTTTCTGCAATTATTTCTTCTTTTAATGTGTTTCTCAGATGCTCAGCTCTCATTCTTTCTGCAATCATTTCTTCTTTTAATGTGTTTCTTCTCAGACGCTCAGCTCTCATCCTTTCTGCAATTATTTCTTCTTTTAATGTGTTTCTCAGATGCTCAGCTCTCATCCTTTCTGCAATCATTTCTTCTTTTATTATGGTTCTTCTCAGATGCTCAGCTCTCATCCTTTCTGCAATCATTTCTTCTTTTAATGTGTTTCTTCTCAAATGCTCAGCTCTCATCCTTTCTGCAATCATTTCTTCTTTTAATGTGTTTCTTCTCAGATGCTCAGCTCTCATCCTTTCTGCAATCATTTCTTCTTTTATTATGGTTCTTCTCAGATGCTCAGCTCTCATCCTTTCTGCAATCATTTCTTCTTTTATTATGGTTCTTCTCAAATGCTCAGCTCTCATCCTTTCTGCAATCATTTCTTCTTTTATTATGGTTCTTCTCAAATGCTCAGATCTCATCCTTTCTGCAATCATTTCTTCTTTTAATGTGTTTCTTCTCAGACGCTCAGCTCTCATCCTTTCGGCATTCATTTCTTCTTATAGTGTGTTTCATTTCAGATAAAAACATAGATGAATAATATCTGAGTGTCATGTATAGAGTTGTAGGAGATAGCAAAAGCCAGAATGGCCTGGTGGGAGTGGGCTGAGTGCCTATTCTTTAGTGGGAGATTACTGATAGCAGAAGAAGAATAGTATGAGTATTTAAGAAATATTATTTGTTTTCTTGTTGACAGTTCTGGAGTTTGAACTACGGAAAGCTCAGGAGACAATAAAGTCTCTCCGTGCTGCGCTGACTCAACAGGCGGGTAAGTGTTTAGTTGTTTCAGAATTCATGTAGCTGTAGCAAATTACCTTACCTGAATATGGTTATTACATGGCTTTATGGCGGACCTACCCTAACCTCTTGAGACAGACATATATCATGGCCAGCCTAGCTTTTAGAGGCAGACACCATGTGCCAAAGCCACTCCAATCCTTAAAGACAGACATCAAAAGACACTCTAAACCCTATAGTTTGTGTTAGCACCTTTCTGTCTTTCCAGATGTGACTTACTTATTTAGTCGCTCCTCTTCTACCTTAGGGTGTAGAGATTTGCCAGAGATATCGCCAGACTTCTCTATCAGCAGTTTTCTTTCTGGCTTAGTTCCATTCCATTCCTCTGTCGGTCAGGGACTGTTGGATGTTGTCTTCCCAGCAGACCCTGGGTCGCCCTGGAGGTCTGGTTCCCTGGTTTTTAGCCTCCCATGCCTACCACCTTTCCAGATGATAGTATTATACTGTGCTATGGGAAAGACATCATACATCAAAGCCACTCTAAACTCTGTAGTTTGTGTTAGCACCTCTTAGTGTTTCCAAATGATACTATTATACTGTGCTACAGTGAAATGTGGGAATCACAGTCCACACTGATAGCGAGTGTGACTAGCAAGACCTGCCCACATTAAAAAGCCTTACAGTTAGAGCATGGGTTTTCCTGACTGTTGTTTCCATCACCGTCACACGTGTTTGGTGTGATTTGTCTCAGATGCTCAGCTCTCAGCCTGTCTGCAATTATTTTTCCTTTATTCCCATTCTCTTCCTAATTTTTTTGTAGCGGCTTGTTTGCTGGCCTGAAGATCGTGAGATCAGATCCTGATGGAGCCAGATTGGTGTCAGAAATGACCTTGGCACCCAGGTCAACCCAGTCCTAAATGGGTACCAGGTAAGGTTCTGGGAAGTAAAGGTGACTGGCGTGGTATATTGACCATATCAGCCACTGAAAACTGATTGGTCTATGCAAATATAAGTCTAGCCCTGTATGCCCAGTACGAGTAAAGACATGGAAAAGGGTTCTTTTACTTTACTTCCTGATTTCCCCCTGCAGTTAACACAGTCCATGGCATTTTGTTCCCATGAATCTACCTTATTATCTGTACCAGTCATGTTCCATTTTCACATCTTCATATTGTAGTTGAGGCCAAGCTTAACGTCTTCTGTCTATCTGTAATTGACCATAAAGAATGTCCTTAAAGACATCATACCTATGCAAGGCGTAATTGTAAATACAAAATATAATTATTTAAATTTTTTTGAATTCATCAACATCATCTTAAAGCAGGTCTGCCTTAAAGAAACTCGGTCTCTCACCAGCTCTCCCGCCTCATGCACTTTCATACTCAAGAAGTCACTTATATTCTGTGCTCATCTTCCTGTTGGTCGGTCCCTGCCCCTCCTTCCTGTTACCATGCCTTCTGCTATTATTTTGTTCAAACCTTCGTGGCGCTTGATATGGCCAAAATATTTCAGATGCAGGAGACAGGATGCTGTTTATTAGCCAATCTTCCTTGATGTTCAGATTTTTTAAGATGTCAGTATTTCTCCTCTTCTTTGTCCAAGATATTCTAAGAATCTTTCTATATAAGTTTCTTGGGATAGTAATGTGGTAGTTTCCTGATTTGAATTAGGGAGACATAATTTGCAGCACAGCATCCTTTCCTGTTTCTAGAGAATGAGCTGTCGACACCAGAGAGCCAGAACAACACTGGGTTGGTTGGTGAACCAGGTGACAGCATCACCCCTGTGGAGAAGAAGGCTCTCAACTTCCTTGTGAATGAGTATCTCCTACAGGCAGGGTTTAAAGTGACCTCAGTGACTTTTGCTGAAGAAAATGAAGAGCAGGTTTGTTGTTGAAAAAAAACAGTTTATAGTTTATGTGTTAGTCATGTTTGTTTTTGTTTCCTTCTGCTTTTTATAACTTTTGTTTTTTCAGTAGAGCATAGGCTGTCAACTAACTGCACTGAATCCTCACATCCTTTGCTGTTTGTTGCAGTTAAAGATGGTCCCATAACAGGTGCCAGTAGGGTGCAGAATATAAGACCTTTACCTGTGCTTAGGTAGTCCTGGGTTCAAATCCTTGCAAAGGTTGTGGGATTTTATGTGTGTCGGGGCAAACAATAAAATCATAACCTTCTCAGTCCGTGGCAACTGCACTAGCCATATGACACGATATCCTCAGCCTCAAAGACACTTCCTATACTGCAAAGTAATGACAGTTTAAAAAAATATGTTCTGTTTTGTTAGTTTGTCAGGCAAAGACTTGTGAGGTTGGTGATCTGTGCCTTTTCTCAGCCATTTCCTACCAAGACAGTGCTTCTTCTTTCTTTGCTTGAAATAGATTATCTTTATCTGTAGTGTTGCCTCTAGTAATTCTGAAATGTGTCTGGTACCTGTATTTATTAAGTTGGGTTTTTTCTTCTTGTTTTCATCCGAAGACGTAAATGTGTTGTGCCAGTTAACAACATGGCTTCAATATACGTGCCTTTGGGTCGACACATCTGACTTCTGCAATCATTTTTTGCCTGGGTTAGCCCTCCCGGATATCCATTTTTATGAAGCTTGATTTGGCCTATGAGCCATATTAGTCTTTGTCTCTCTGTCTCTCACACACGCACACACACACGCACTGGAGTGGTTCTGCAACATCCTGTATGTCCTGGAAAAGGTACACCAAACTTTTAACTTTTATCAGTGTTGTCTGTTTGAGTATTCCAGTCAGAGTTTGTGTTATTTAGTAGTCGGCTGTTAAAGACTTTTGTCTGTGGGTCTTTGCTGTGAAGGGGTCAATCTGTTTGCCTCATTTTACTGTGGCGTTCGCTCAGTTCACGAGTGCAGTTATTACGGAGATCTCTGGGAATCGTCATCGGGGCTACGGAGGTCATGCTCTGTGAGACACTATCGGCAGGCATCTAGCTGTTCTGTGGAGAGAGACCGAGCCAAATAAGATAATACCCGGTGCAGTGAAGTCGATCCTCTCACCAAAAGTTGTTGTTCGAACATTAGTTGGTATTTGTGCGCCTCTTTTCCATTCCCTACATTAAGCTTTCTAGTCACATTTTCTGTTATATTTAGCATCTTTTATCAGAGTGGCACATAGTGTTGATGATAGTGCAGTTTCCTATATCTCCATTGCAGGATTTTGAAGATTGGGACGATGTTGGCTTGAACATTCCAAGACCACCTGGCCTAGTTCATCTGTTTAAAGACTACAGCAGCCATGAGGCCCCAAGGAAGGAGACCGCAGACATTGGGGTTTCTGTGGACATGGAGTCGGGGCGAGTGTATCAGCTGGAGCAGGAGTTCAGAGCTAACATGGAGGAGTTGGTTAGTATACACTGTCTTTAGCTCTGTCACTGCTTTATTACAACTTACCTTTGTCTTCTCATTACAGCACAACCTTATTACCTTATTACAACTTACTTTTGTCATCTCATGTCAGCACAACCTTATTACCTTATTACAACTTACTTTTGTCATCTCATGTCAGCACAACCTTTTTTTCAACTTACCTTTGTCTTCTCATTACAGCACAATCTTTTCACAACTTACCTTTGTCTTCTCATTACAGCACAACCTTTTCACAACTTACCTTTGTCTTCTCATTACAGCACAACCTTATTACAACTTACCTTTGTCTTCTCATTACAGCACAACCTTTTCACAACTTACCTTTGTCTTCTCATTACTGCACAACCTTATTACAACTTACCTTTGTCTTCTCATTACAGCACAACCTTTTCACAACTTACCTTTGTCTTCTCATTACAGCACAACCTTATTACAACTTACCTTTGTCTTCTCATTACAGCACAACCTTTTCACAACTTACCTTTGTCTTCTCATTACAGCACAACCTTATTACCTTATTACAACTTACCTTTGTCTTCTTATTACAGCACAACCTTATTACAACTTACCTTTGTCTTCTCATTACAGCACAACCTTATTACCTTGTTACAACTTACTTTTGTCTTATTTCAGCTCAACCTTATTACCTTATTACAACATAATTTGACCACAACACAACTATGACTTCTGGCACCAACATAATAATTTTGCAACAAATCTGTTACTTCTGACTACAACATAACATTTTTGCAACAAATCTGTTACTTCTGACTACAACATAACATTATTGCAACGTCACTTCTGACTACAACACAACCTTTATGACATTGTTTTAACTTCTGACAGCAGCCTAACCTTATTACAAAATCTCTATTACTTCTGACCAAAACATAACCTTTTTACAATATATCTATCAATTATGACTGCAACATAACATTATTGCAACATGTCTGTTACTTCTGACTACAACAGAACATAATTGCAACATATCTATTAATTATTACTACAGCTGCTTCTTTTCTGTACTCCTGAAATGCATCGCGGCGCCAGGGCAGGAAGAGATCGCTGGAACTGGTCCCTCTGTTCGTTTCATATAAAGTACTTTTCAATGTCTCTGATATTTCTCTTGTCCATCTTCTGCATGGTCAACCTCTGGGTCACTTAATAAACCACGTTGGACACAGTTGAAAAGCATTCTGAATGAAATCCACATCTCGCTAGGTCACGCCATGCATATAACTCAGTAGCTGGGCAACAGTACAGGATCCTTTCAGTCTACGAATGGAGGAAAAGGCAAGAGCCAATAACTGTCAGCAGTAAAAACTTGCCATGACTATAAGCAGTAAGCCCGCCTATTCGCCATGTCAGCGGTCCATAAATGGGTGTGCATGCACTAGTACAGACACACACACACACACATATACACACACAAATATTTATATACACACATGAACCCACACACATAGTCAACACATGTACACATGCACTGACACACACACACAGTATGAAGAATCTCAGACTGTAAAAAATGTATATTTATGATAAATGGCCATCTCAAAATAACTATAAATATATGAATGTCATTTCTCTTACAGGAATCTGAGAAATTGTGTACATATATAAATGGTATTCTCTTACAGGAATCTGAGAAATTGTGTACATATATAAATGGTATTCTCTTACAGGAATCTGAGAAATTGTGTACATATATAAATGGTATTCTCTTACAGGAATCTGAAAAATTGTGTACATATATAAATGTTATTTCTCATACAGGAATCTGAGAAATTGTGTACATATGTAAATGGTATTCTCTTACAGGAATCTCAGGTAGCTGCTTTAAATGAGCAACTTCAAATATCCAAGCAGGAAAATGAAACTCTTGCCCAACAGGTTGATATATTGAAAATGTAAGTACATTCTTCTTCTTTGTTTACCGACTGTAAGCTCCCGTGGAAAGTCCTAGCTGTTCATCCATCTGGACTTTGACTTTGTGCCAGGGCCTGAGTTTTGCGTGTATTATATCCGTTTTACTGACTTTTTGTGTGAAGTTGGTTGTTTCTACTCAGGTAGAAGCAGTCATACTTTGAAGGAAGCCCCCAATTACTTGACTCCTACATGCTTGTTGGGGAGGCATTGGGTCTGTTCTTGTTTTTTGGGGCCCCGGAAACCACTCGGGGAAGTACCATTATTGTGTGCTCTTTTTTTCTCATAACCTCCAGCCCTATATCCCAGGTGCTACATTGTGTCATGACCCATCTCGCGACCTATCATTCTGGCTTTTATAAAGATAGCTGAGAAACTATCGACCCGGCTGCTTCGAGATACCAGCTAAGTGATTTTGTGTATTTGTGTAGTATTGTTGTATGTGCTGATGAAGGCTTCATAGCCGCAATGTTCACATTTTATTTGTATTTGTTATATTGTGAAGCTTGCTAATATACTTTTCTTTCAGTTTTATATCTTTTCTTGGCTTTTTTAAAGACTTTTAGTTCTTTCCCAGAGTTATGTTTCCAAGACTAATCCTAATTTGTTAGGCTTCCATGGAACTCTTGATTTGCCACTATCTCCCAAGAGATTCTCTGTCACTGGTGCTAAAGGCCTTTTCTTTAATAAAAAAGTTACCAATTTTTTTTCTTTACATATTTGTGTCTTTTATATTTATAGTGAAATTATCTGTATTTTGGTAATAACACTTATAACAGACCTCTACTACGATATAAAAATGTGTGCAAGCAGAACATGAATGATACGGGTATTGAGGTGGACTCGTGGGAACAAGATGCCATAGACTGTGATGTGTGCAGGTGACACATCAGGAAGGGATTGAGAATGAAGAAAAAAACGATTGATTGCAAAAGATGAGAGCTGAGTGTCCGAGAAGAAACGGACTAAACACAAATGTTGACAACAATGGTTCTGAAATTCCATGCTGTCATTGTGAAAGACTGTTCTTATCGCGAGCAGATCTTGCTAGTCACACTCGCTATCGCCTCCTCATAGCACAGTATAACAATATCGTCTGGAAAGACGGAAAGGTGCCAATCAGTCATCATATCAATCACAGTTATAACAAAATAACCTAAGTTACACCTATTATCTCATAACAAAATCACAAATTTTTATACAGTTGAGTATCTTATAACAGAATCAATAATTTAAAAGATATATTTAACTGGGTATCTTATAGTTATAACTATTTCTTTTCTATTCCTGACTTCTTTAGGGGCAGCATACATGAAGCCATTTTGAAGCCATTATCCAACATTCCACAAAAACACAATCCAGAACCAGCAGAGGTCTTCTCAAAGTCAACCCTGCCTGGTGGAGTCCAGAAAATTAAAAAACCTACTAATTCTGAACTTGTCCCTCATTCTGTGCCATTGGAGCTCAGTTTTGAAGACCTGGATGCGGAGGACCCTGAGCTGGGCTCAGGAGGAGTCGATGCAACAGCTCTGAGTAGTGCTATAGGAGAGAGAGAGGAAGGGGAGGGTCAAGAGGAGATTGATGGCAGTGTCGGCCGAAGTAGCGTAGATAAAAGTGGCAGTACGGTGGCTGTAGGACAAGCAGCAGTGACGAAGGAATCTCTTCGCTCAAGGACTTCTAGGAATGATAGCACCAGAACCCTCATCAATGAAGATGTATCCAAACAGTTTGAAACTAGGTGATTAATATAGTTTCTTGTTTGCAATCTTTCTGTGATTGAAATAGTTTTATGTTACAATCTTTGCAGTATTGAAACAAAATATTTTCATGTTTACAATCCTTGCAGTATTTAAAGAAATTGTTGGATGTTTATAATTTTACAGTGTTGGAAAAAATAAGTTTAATGATTACAATCTTTGCAGAGATTGAACTAGTTTCATGTTTACAATCTTTGCAGAGATTGAACTAATGTCATCTTTACAATCTTTGCAGAGATTTAACTAGTTTCAGTGTATGTGTAGGAATAACAGTTGTGTTGTAATGCAGGAGAAATAGATTCAGGAATGATGGTTATGTTGGAATTCAGCAACGATGCTATTGTATGCTCATAATACACAAGTAGTGGTAGTTGTGTTGTAATATGGACATGATAGTTGTCTAGAAATGCAAAAGTCATGTGTTGTAATATAAAAATGATATTGTATTGTAAAACAGACATAATAGCTGTGTTGCAATACAGACATGATAGCTGTGTTGTAATACAGACATGATAGCTGTGCAATACAGACAGGACAACTGTGTTGTAATACAGACATGATAGCTGTGTTGTAATACAGACATGATAGCTGTGTTGTAATACAGACATGATAGCTGTGTTGCAATACAGACATGATAGCTGTGTTGTAATACAGACATGACAACTGTGTTGTAATACAGACATGACAACTGTGTTGCAATACAGACATGATAGCTGTGCAATACATACATGACAACTGTGTTGTAATACAGACATGATAGCTGTGTTGTAATACAGACATGATAGCTGTGTTGTAATACAGACATGATAGCTGTGTTGCAATACAGACATGATAGCTGTGTTGTAATACAGACATGACAACTGTGTTGTAATACAGACATGACAACTGTGTTGCAATACAGACATGATAGCTGTGCAATACATACATGACAACTGTGTTGTAATACAGACATGATAGCTGTGTTGTGATACAGACATGATAGCTGTGTTGTAATACAGACATGATAGCTGTGTTGTAATACAGACATGATAGCTGTGTTGTAATACAGACATGATAGCTGTGTTGTAATACAGACATGATAGCTGTGTTGTAATACAGACATGATAGCTGTGTTGTGATACAGACATGATAGCTGTGTTGTAATACAGACATGATAGCTGTGTTGTAATACAGACATGACAACTGTGTTGTAATACAGACATGATAGCTGTGTTGTAATACAGACATGATAGCTGTGTTGTAATACAGACATGAAAGCTGTGTTGTAATACAGACATGCAGCAAGCTATAGAAAAGAGACAGGCTAAGTGAAAACCAGCCTCAGTATAATAGAGTATCAATGTGTTTATGTAGACTATTTGGCAGAGACTGTCACTTAGGCATTGGACTTTACAGTCCTAGTAGATCCTGTTTCCAAAACCAGTGGCACGGCTCCCTGGTCCTCGGGGAACCAACTGAGAGTTGCCTTCCTTTGCCTGTTTGTAGTTTTATTGTAATTCAGAGTGATAATTGTGTTGTAGGACAGGATTAACATTTGTAAAGGTCAAAAGAGATTAAAACTAATAGTTTTAAATTCTAATGTCAAATCAGTACTGTTGTATGGGACAGAAACATAGAGAACAACCAAGGCAATTACTAATAAACTACAAACATTCATTAACTGGTGACTGTGCAGAATAGAGGGAGTTAAATGGCATGATAGAATCATTAATGTAGTTTGAGAGAGATTTAAACAAGTTAAAGTGGACCAAGAGGTGAATAAAAGATGCTGGCGTTGGATAGGACACATGTTGAAAAAACCTGAAAACAATATAACTAGAATGTCTTTACACTAGAACCCACAGGGGCTTAGAAATAAAGGAAGACCAAGAAAAACAGAGGAAGAAGGGAGCTAGAGAGTGAAGTTAAAAACATGGGTTGGACACAGGGAGAGCTGCATGCAATAGCAAAGGATAAAATGACTTGGTGTGAGTTGGTTGGGGGCCTATGCTTCATTGGGGACGGGGCGGAAGAAGGGGAACTTTACTTTCTAATTGTTAGCTGTGTGCAATTGGAAAGAGAAGGCCAACCAGAGAGGTGAATGGAGGCAGGTGATGTCTGCAGCAGTGAACCTCAAGGTCTCAGAATGCCGAAGAAGAAGAAGAAAATGAGGGAGAATTTTTAGCTGCTGGATTTTCCTTCTAATAGTTGAGATAGTCTCCATTTTTCATTAAATGGTGGTTTGTGTTTCAAATTGCAGAAAAATGACAACATCATTCCGTAAGGCACTTCTAGATGTTGCATTTCATGTGTCGGCAGACAATCGCATTGTTTCAGAGGTAAAGATTCAACACTATGATTCTTATCCATATTTTTAAAAAACCTTTTGTAGTTTTTTTTTAAATCTGTCTTCTTTCTGTTAATTTTTGTTTCTGTTGGTTTTTCATTTATTTGCTTATTTCTTTGTATTTTATTTGGATTCCATAAATTGTCTTTCTTTCTTTGGAGAAATTAATGACTAGCCAATCCATTTTATTCCTTCTGTCATACATTATCTTGTATTTTTTCCTTATTTTATGCATGCAAATTTTTAGTAAAGTAGTTGCCAAAATGATTGATAGTCGGCTTACCACTTTCGCTCTGAAAAGTTGAATGTTTCCAGCTAGGATTTTGCCAATACAAATTCCCCATTTGTGGACAAGGAGTGCAAATGTTTCATTGCCCAGCTATTGAGTTGAGTGCTTGATGTGACACTGTGAGCTATAGAAGATAAAGAAGAAGAATTAAAAAAAGGACTGATAACAGTAAGCTTGTATATTCATATTGGATCAGATATCTTCCTGAGTGTATTCATATCTGTGAATAGTTGTAGTTGTAGTGAAATTGTGGTTCTTTCTTAATAGCTGACCACAAATGACGTCATGTGAAGGTCCATTATTTTAAAGGGTGATTAAACTTGGTTTCCTAGTTTTATGTGTTTCTTCCAAGGCGTTGCCAAGGTTTTTGCGTGTTTCTTTCAGCGGCGTCTCTCCAATGGCGTGTGCTCAATCTTTGCCATGAATTTCCCTGAATTAGCACCAGTTGCCGTGTTCCAACATTTCTTAAGATCTGCTAACGTGTAAAATTGTTCTGATTGTCAGTTTGTGAACTCAGCAGTAAACATATAGAATTATGTTGCCATTTATTCATTATTCTCAGCTGCTGGCAATATCGGTGTTTTATATTTCAGGATGTGAGCGCTTTTAACAACCCCAAAATATGTCTCACAAGAGAGTGCAGCCTAGGTCCGATGACTGTATGCAGCCTAGGTGTCCATGTCGTACCTGAAGTCCCAGAAGGCTATAATTACCAGTATTACAAACTAAAACACTGAATTTAACGTGTCAAATTATTCTGGTTGTCAATTCGTGAACTTGGCAGTATACATAGAGAATGATTGACCCTTTTTAGGGCCACCCCCAAACTACCTCAATTGGCACAGCATCCTGCCAATTGCACACACATTTTCACACAAACAAATTGCAAAACTGCATCCTCCTTTCCAGTCAGAAAACAATGCATCCTCCCGATTGCACATAAAGTCCACAACACGCAATAAAAAATGCACAGCAAAAAAAAAAAACTGCACAGCAAACAAAACAGAAGCACACAAACTGAAAACTGCACAGCACAAAACTGTGCAGGAAATGAAATGCTAAATTACAAAACTATCCACTGTCCATTGACCTGTGGATTTCCCCGTTTGTGGTGGGCTATTCAGAAAGTACCAAAATTGTATGTTATTTTTCAGATGTCAAGAATCAGTGATGCCGATGAACATGGGGTGGTCAAGATGTTGGCGAGATGTCTTCCCCACATTGTTCCAAATGTCTTGTTAGCAAAGAGAGAGGTAACTAAGTGTTTATGCATCATTGATAGGTGCGAAATTTAATGATGATGACTTCTCTAATTTACTTCTGCCTTTTAGCGCCAAGTTGAAAAAAGGCATCTGGTGCGAGCCTTAGTGTGTACTACGTAGATGCTGGCATCTCCCACAGGGCTGCACCAAGCACGAAACTCAGTAGTTCAGGCAGCGAAACCATAGGCTACCTTTTTGTGTGTGGAAACTGCATTAGCAAAGCGCTATCGGAAACAAAAATAGTAGTTTTAGCAATTGCAGTATCGTCTGATCCATTTGTTTTAGTGTTCCCCAGCACAAAGTGAGAGGATTACGGACAAGCACAAGAAGAATGAGTGGTTTTACTTTCATGAATGAATCATTGTCCTTTGTAATTGAACTGCAGCCAGCCTCCAAGTGGTGATGGTACAGTGTTGTGTGTGTATGAGTGTGAGCGTGCATGAGTGAGTGAGTGAGTGTGTGTGGGGGTGGGGGAGGAGAGAGAGATGTATGGAAGTAATAAGGTGCAACTATGAAGAACTAAGTTCAAAGGTTAAAGGTGAGAGGATCGACTTCTTTGCAATGGGTTTTATCCCATGAGGCTCAGTCTCTCTTTGCAGAATGGCTAGCCACCAGTCGAGAATGTCATAGAAGCACAAACTTCTTAAGGGATCTACACAAAAAATACACACGTGAACTGAACAACACAGTTGTGAAAGGAACCCATGACTTTCATTGCGCAAGGCAAATGGCTTGACTACTTTGCCACAGATCCCGTCAGACTATCTAAGTTTATAGTGCAAACACCTGTTTACTCAAAGTCCACCATCGTCATCATGTCCTTTACAGAACCTCGCTGTCTTCCCGGCACACCTGAATGTCTTTAGCCCAGTGTTTCCCAAACATTTCTTAGCCGTGGGGCATATTTTCTATTATAATTTTCCGCGGCGCCCTAACCCGAGTAAAAGTATGACTGTTCGTATGTAAGAGATACACACAAAAAAACCCAAAACAAACTGGTGTATCTTCGAATATTTTGCGGCGCCCTGTGATGAGGCGATGGCTACCTGGGGCGCCGCAGTGCATAGTTTGGGAATCACTGCTTTAGCCAGTTCTCCAGCCCTGTCTGCTGTCATAGCCATTGTGTCTCTTCAATGTCCTATATCCACATTCACGGTGGTTGGCCTCTGCCTCATTTTCTAGAAACTGCATCTGCCATCACTGTTCTCTCAAGACCTCTGTGGTGCTTGGCATGTGCAAAATACCTCAGTTTTCAACCAGTGCTGAAAATATCAGCCTCAGATAGAATCTCCTTATGCAATCTATGGAAGGCAGGGGCTTTGCTGGGAAAACAAAATTGTCACATACATCCAGCATCCCCGAACTTTAGGTTATAACTGTGACCACGTTATGGGCGCTATGTAAAATGGTTTAGTCTATGGGCGACCCATCGCCGATGGTCCTAGAAGGAGACTGAAGCTCTTATGTGGGTATCTGAGTGCAGTGGATGTGAATCTGTTAAAATGCCAACCAACCTGGAAACAACTGTTCTATTCTGTAGGAGCTGATCCCAGTGATATTGTGTACAACCATTCTTCACCCTGACCCCAAACAGAGGGACCAGTTGCTGAACATTCTGTTTAACCTCATCAAGAAACCAGATGATGAGCAGAGGTGAGGTGTCTGGTTCTCTTACGTAGATGTCAGTTTGTAATCATCACTATCACTCAGTGCCATTTTTCTTCTTTCTTCTTCTTAGCATTCACTGGCTCTAAACTTCTGTGGACAGTTCTAGTTCTCTTCCACTCCTGGACTTTGATCTTTATCCAGAACTTGAGTTTTGCACGCACATTCGTTTTACAGATCTGGTTTATTTGTTTGAAGGCTGTTGGTTCCTTGCCTCTCAGGCAGTGCACTCTGACTTTGAAGGAAATACCCCTAATTAGTTGCCTCCTAGGACATGCTTCATAGGGCAGTAGGTCTGTTCTGTGTTCTACAAAATAAAGCTCACATGGGGAAGTGCCATGTTCATTCACATTGAAGTTTGGTTTGAATAAGTCAACACAATTTTGTATCTTGTGTTTTCATATAACACTCAAATAGAATTTCTATAGTCCATCTGCAGCTGTTATAATACCACTTGTATCATTGATTTCCTCTTGCATGCTTTACATTTATTATTCTTACCAGCATATGTTTTAACAGTCATACTGGCAACAATGTAAAAACTTCTGGTATAATACTGGCTACATCAGAGAAAGCTGATCACATACATCACTTATGTCACATACATCACTTATGTCACATACAGCCCATACAATACATGACATTTCCATGTCTACAGCCTTAAATCAGGCTCTTTTACTTCATTTGAGTCTTCTTCATCTTCTTCGAATTTACCGGCTGTAAACTCCGGTGAAAATGTTTGGTTGTTCGTCCACTTCTGGACTCTAGTCCTGTTCGAGAAACTGAGCATTGGGTGCACATCTATTTCACAAGTCTGACTCATTTGCAGCAGACTGTTGGTTCCTTGCCTCTCAGGCAGATGAACTCCGAATTTGAAGGAAACTTTTTACGAGTAAATTCTACTAGGATACCAAACACACCCACCCCTGAACTTCAGAAACATTCAACTGCCATTTTCTTGCCCACCCATTGATAACATCAGTTTGTAAACTGTAATCACATTCAATTACCTTTGTTTGTCTTTCCCTTCAGTCTATCATAATCTGTCTCATGACATCATCATCATCAGGTGCCTTGCCGACTGGCGTGGATGATCATGCCTCTCCATAATCCACGATCTTCTGCAGCATGTATCGGTTCATGTGCCGACGCACCTCCATGCCAGGCAACAAGACTGTCTATGTATACATCAGAAGTATTTTCATGGTCTGATTTTGATCTGTTCCACACATGAAAGCAGCCCCGGCAGGGCATCTGGCAGATGTCACAGAAACATTTCACAAGATTTATGGGGGTAAAATTCTGAACAGAGCAAGCTACTAGATGATGACAGTGTTTGAATCTTACTGAGCAATGTTTTCTTCAGTCCCACTTCATGTTATACTTCTTTGTACTAAGACTATTATTTATCAGAATAACATTCTGGAATTCTCACCATTTGCCTTCTGGTTTTCTTTTTCTGTTGCCGCCCTTTTCTTTCATGTCCGTGTTACCACACCATGAGTAATAACATTTTGGTTTTTATTTTTTTTCAATTAGCAGACTAGTAAATTTTTGTGGCCAGTATCTGCCAGAATATAATATTGACAGTTTTTATTCCATACATATTAACTTCCTGTGTTCACATTGCGAGGAAAGGGTGGAAAAATAATAGACCCACTGTGGCAGGTGATGTTAATTGTATCTATATTCCAGGCAGGTAATTTCGACTCTCCTAGGCAGTAATATTGACTGTATCTGTATATCAGGCAGGTAATTTTGACCGTGTCTCTGTTTCAGGCAGGTAATTTTGACTGTGTCTCTGTTTCAGGCAGGTAATTTTGACCGTGTCTCTGTTTCAGGCAGGTAATTTTGACCGTGTCTCTGTTTCAGGCAGGTAATTTTGACTGTGTCTCTGTTTCAGGCAGGTAATTTTGACCGTGTCTCTTTCAGGCAGGTAATTTTGACCGTGTCTCTGTTTCAGGCAGGTAATTTTGACCGTGTCTCTGTTTCAGGCAGGTAATTTTGACTGTGTCTCTGTTTCAGGCAGGTAATTTTGACTGTGTCTCTGTTTCAGGCAGGTAATTTTGACCGTGTCTCTTTCAGGCAGGTAATTTTGACTGGCTGTGTGGTGTTTGCTGAACATGCTGGAGCTGAGAGACTCGTGGAAGAGTTACTGCCCCAGTGTTGGGAGCAGGTGATGCTTAGTTATTAATATAGATTATGTAACTTCTGTAAAGATTCTGTAACTCTGTAACCCCTTAAGATTCTATAACTCTGTAACTTCTGCATGGATTCTATAACTCTGTAACTTCTAAATAGATTCTATAACTCTGTAACTTCTGTAATAGATTCTATAACTCTGTAACTTTTGTATGGATTTTATTATTCTGTAATCTTTGTATAGATTCTATAACTCTGTAACTTCTTTATAGATTATATAACTCTGTAACTTTTGTATAGATTATATATCTGTAATCGTTGTAAACTTTTGTATAGATTCTATAACTCTGTAACTTCTGTATATATTCTATAACTCTGTAACTTTTGTATAGATTCTAAAACTCTGTAACTTTTGTATAGATTCTATAACTCTGTAACTTTAATAAAGATTCTATAACTCTCTAACTTTTGTATCGCTTCTATAACTCTGTAACTTTAATAAAGATTCTATAACTCTGTAACTTTTGTATAGATTCTATAACTCTGTAACTTTTGTATAGATTCTATAACTCTGTAACTTTTGTATAGATTCTATAACTCTATTCTTAGTTGTAAATTGTTTTCTGTCTGAAATGTTCTAACTTGTCTTTAGTAGCTGTCTCTGTGAAATGTTCTAACTTGTCTTTAGTAGCTGTATCTGTGAAATGTTCAAACTTGTCTTTAGTAGCTGTCTCTGTGAAATGTTCTAACTTGTCTTTAGTAGCTGTCTCTGTGAAATGTTCAAACTTGTCTTTAGTAGCTGTCTCTGTGAAATGTTCTAACTTGTCTTTAGTAGCTGTCTCTGTGAAATGTTCAAACTTGTCTTTAGTAGCTGTCTCTGTGAAATGTTCTAACTTGTCTTTAGTAGCTGTCTCTGTGAAATGTTCAAACTTGTCTTTAGTAGCTGTCTCTGTGAAATGTTCTAACTTGTCTTTAGTAGCTGTCTCTGTGAAATGTTCTAACTTGTCTTTAGTAGCTGTCTGTGAAATGTTCAAACTTGTCTTTAGTAGCTGTCTCTGTGAAATGTTCAAACTTGTCTTTAGTAGCTGTCTCTGTGAAATGTTCTAACTTGTCTTTAGTAGCTGTATCTGTGAAATGTTCTAACTTGTCTTTAGTAGCTGTCTCTGTGAAATGTTCTAACTTGTCTTTAGTAGCTGTCTCTGTGAAATGTTCAAACTTGTCTTTAGTAGCTGTCTCTGTGAAATGTTCTAACTTGTCTTTAGTAGCTGTCTCTGTGAAATGTTCTAACTTGTCTTTAGTAGCTGTCTGTGAAATGTTCAAACTTGTCTTTAGTAGCTGTCTCTGTGAAATGTTCAAACTTGTCTTTAGTAGCTGTCTCTGTGAAATGTTCTAACTTGTCTTTAGTAGCTGTATCTGTGAAATGTTCAAACTTGTCTTTAGTAGCTGTCTGTGTGAAATGTTCAAACTTGTCTTTAGTAGCTGTCTCTGTGAAATGTTCTAACTTGTCTTTAGTAGCTGTCTCTGTGAAATGTTCTAACTTGTCTTTAGTAGCTGTCTCTGTGAAATGTTCAAACTTGTCTTTAGTAGCTGTCTCTGTGAAATGTTCTAACTTGTCTTTAGTAGCTGTCTCTAATATTCTTTCTCTGTAGTAGCTGTCTGAAATGTTCTAACTTGTCTTTAGTAGCTGTCTGTCTGAAATGTTATAACTTGTCCTTAGTTTTACTTTATATCTGTAATGTTCTGTTTGTCTGAAGTTGTTGTCTGTCTGTAATACTTTAACTTGTCTTTAGTTGTGAGCTATCAGTAATGTTCTAACATGTCTTATGGTCTATGTGAAATGTTCTGACTTGTTTCAAGTTATCTATTTGAAATGTTCTAACTAGTCTTTAGTCATTATTTGTCTGTAATGTTCTAACTTGTCATGTTTTCTGTATGAAATGTTCTTTGCCCAGATCTGTCTGACATGATGGGAATGCAAGAGTTAATGAGCTGATGATTTCTGTTTGCAGATCAGCCACAAGTACATTGAGAGGAGACTCTTGGTAGCAGAAGCTTGCGGAGCTCTGGCTTCTTATCTCCCAGTGAGTTCAATCATTGTTACTGATTTATACTGAAAAAGCTGTGTCACTGCACTAGAAACAAGCTCTTTACTGGTCAGTCTTTTCCAGCAGAATTCAAATGGTGTCTTTGTTGAGCCATAGTTGCTGTGGTCACTTCTTTACTTAATTTCCTACTCCAACAGCTGTCATTGAGAACTAGTATCTGTCACTTAGTATGGACTTATATATGATCAGTGTTTACTCATAAGTGCAAAGGTGTACATAATAATACTTTGATTAGCATATTGTCTGTGTATCTGAACAGTATCTTCATTTGTGCACTTTCTTTCTATTAAATTCAGCTTTGTTTAAATGTTTTCTTTTGATGTATATTGTACCTTTACCTTTGTCGTTTAGTTAGCATTCAGCTTCATCTTCCTCCTCTTTTTAGCCTTCACCATATGTAAACTCCAGTGGAAAGTTCTGGTTGTTTTTCCACTTCTAGACTTTATTCTTGTTCCTGGCTTGAGTATTATGTAAGCATCTGTTTTACAGATTTGACTTATTTGTATGCAGACTGTTATTTCCTTGTCTCTTGAGCATATTAACTCTGTCTTTGAAGAAAATACCCCTAGATAAGGCACCTTTTATGGCATGCTTGTAAGTACAGTTGCCATTTTGTTCTGTGTTGCGAATGCACATGCAACACCTCACGCCACCTAACGAACAGAGACATACAATTTGATGATGCTGTCACCTAATGATCCCTTTAGAAACCACCAACTACATTTTCCTACCATCCCAAAACTATTTGTGACCTACTTATTGACTTCCCCTCGTAAGTTTGGTACAGTTTGTAAGTTCTTATGTCTTCCAAACATTTCCTATTGCTGCCATGAAAACTCTTCTTGCCTTTTTTATACATATTTGTGTGTCTATGCCTGAATAAGTGTGCAACATTTGTGAGTGGGAGTTTACCAAGGGAGATTTAGTTACTGTTTGCCTGGTCTGGACAGCTTTCAGCTGGCAGGGACAAAGATAGGCAAACTTTTAATTAAGTTGTAATTAGCACCATCAGTGTGGGAATGACACATTCAGTGTGGGAATGACACCATCAGTGTGGGAATGGCACAGTTAGAGTGGGAATGGCACTGTCAGTGTGGGTATGGAATATTCAGTTTGGGAACGATACCATTAATGTGGGAACTGCACCATCAGTGTGGGAACTACACCGTCAGTGTAGGAATGGCACCATTAGTGTGGGAACTGCACCATTATCGTGGGAACAGTACCATCAGTGTGGGTACTCTTTGTTGGCTATTGAGGAAGGGAGCAGAGCATGCCTGCGAATGTCTTGAGTCCAGTGATATCCATTTATTCATTCATTCATGATTGGTTGATTTAATTCGTTCATGCATGCATTCATTCAGGATTGAATTTGTTTATTCATGCTTGCATTATATCATAAATTCCATTAGTTCATTTATTCCATTTATTCATTCATTCATTCATATTATCACTAGGTAGCTTATCATGTGGTAGCTTCACACCTAACTGTAACAAATGTAAGTCAGGTATCATGACAGCATGGTACTCTTTGAACCATCCTTTTATTGTATTGTGCTATCCAGGCCGAGATCCGCAGCTCTCTGGTGTTATCCATGCTGCAGCAGATGATGACAGACGACAGAGACGAGGACGTGAGGGAGGCGGTGGTCAAAAGTCTGGGGCTGCTGATGGGGTTCATTTGTGATGCTGACAAGTATGCCCAGGTGAGTTCCTTCTGCATCCACCCTTTAAAGAGCAGCTGGAACATTGGGTTCTTTATTAATATCCTACCCCAGACGATGTCACAGAATAGTCCAACATTTTAGAGGGTGGTAAGACTGGGTTTCCTGGCTTTCTGATGCTTTTAACGACCCTAAAACATCTAGAACTGGCCCTAACCCCAACCCACCTACGTCCCACGAGAGAGTGCAGCCTAGGTTCCACGACTGCATGCAGCCTATCTACCACCCCCTGAAATATTAGACTGTCCCGTGACCTGTGGATTTTCCCTGTTTGGGGTAGGATATTAATAAAGCACAGAACATTGTATTGTGGTCTCTTGCAAGGCATGCTTTAGAAAATTGCAACAGGTAGTCTACTCTCCAAATGGATAGAAAGCATTCAGATGTCACAGGTAACCTCCATCAACTGGATCTTTACACCTGGGCATGCCAGAGTGAAAGGTAATGAAAGAGCTGACCAGCTGGCAAGTAGTGCACAAATGCAAATGGGAAGAAGCATGGACAGAGCTGATAATGAAGTATAAATGATGTAAGGACTAGATTGAGGGGGTTAATGGTGAATCTGTGATGCTAACTCAATTGCATGCCCTGGGAGCTTGGTGAAGCACGGCTATGCCATCTTTGAGATCAGCACAGCAGACACTATAACCAGCTTCTCATGGAAACAGTCAGCATAGATACTTTAAGGTGGCTGCTGCATCAGAGGATTAGGCATGCAGTGATGTTGATTGTGAAAGCATAACATAATATTGCAAGGCTGAGATATCTGCACACATCCAGTTTGATTAAAACCTTTTAAATGTCTTTTAGGACATGCTTGTCAAGGGGCAGCAGGCCTGTTCTTTTTACCTTAAACTTTTTTTTTTTAATTTTAATTAAAAAAAATCTTCATGTTAACCAGCTGTAAACTCCAGCAAAAAGTTCTTTTTGTTCATCCACTTCTGGACTGTAGCCCTGTTCCAAAACCTAAATGTTGCATGCACACCTGTTTTACAGATTTTACTCATTTGTATGCATACTGTTGGTTACTTGCCTCTTAAGCAGATGCACTCGGACTTTGAAGGAAGCTCCTAATTAGTCAGGGTAGACAGTGAGTCTATTCTTGTTTTCTTGTTTTCCCCACAGTAGGACCTCAGAACCCACACGGGAAAGATAAGTTAATTCACACCATCACCTTCTTCACCATCATGTAGCAGGTCCTTCACAGAACCTCACCGTCAACACAGTCCACAAAACTCTTCGTCTTAGTCCTTCTGCCTCATGTAGTTGTATTTTAAGATTGCCTTTAACCTCACCACTCTGAGAAAACTGAATCTTCTCACTTCTGTTTATGACATGGTCCCATATCTTCATCTTAGTCCTTCTGCCTCATGTAGTTATATTTTAAGATTGCCTTTAACCTCACCACTCTGAGAAAACTATCTTCTCACTTCTGTTTATGACATGGTCCCATATCTTCATCTTAGTCCTTCTGCCTCATGTAGTTATATTTTAAGATTGCCTTTAACCTCACCACTCTGAGAAAACTGTATCTTCTCACTTCTGTTTATGACATGGTCCCATATCTTCATCTTAGTCCTTCTGCCTCATGTAGTTATATTTTAAGATTGCCTTTAACCTCACCACTCTGAGAAAACTGTATCTTCTCACTTCTGTTTATGACATGGTCCCATATCTTCATCTTAGTCCTTCTGCCTCATGTAGTTATATTTTAAGATTGCCTTTAACCTCATCACTCTGAGAAAACTGTATCTTCTCACTTCTGTTTATGACATGGTCCCATATCTTCATCTTAGTCCTTCTGCCTCATGTAGTTATATTTTAAGATTGCCTTTAACCTCATCACTCTGAGAAAACTGAATCTTCTCACTTCTGTTTATGACATGGTCCCATATCTTCATCTTAGTCCTTCTGCCTCATGTAGTTGTATTTTAAGATTGCCTTTAACCTCATCACTCTGAGAAAACTGTATCTTCTCACTTCTGTTTATATGACATGGTCCCATATCTTCATCTTAGTCCTTCTGCCTCATGTAGTTGTATTTTAAGATTGCCTTTAACCTCATCACTCTGAGAAAACTGAATCTTCTCACTTCTGTTTATGACATGGTCCCATATCTTCATCTTAGTCCTTCTGCCTCATGTAGTTGTATTTTAAGATTGCCTTTAACCTCACCACTCTGAGAAAACTGAATCTTCTCACTTCTGTTTATGACATGGTCCCATATCTTCATCTTAGTCCTTCTGCCTCATGTAGTTGTATTTTAAGATTACCTTTAACCTCACCACTCTGAGAAAACTGAATCTTCTCACTTCTGTTTATGACATGGTCCCATATCTTCATCTTAGTCCTTCTGCCTCATGTAGTTGTATTTTAAGATTGCCTTTAACCTCACCACTCTGAGAAAACTGAATCTTCTCACTTCTGTTTATGACATGGTCCCATATCTTCATCTTAGTCCTTCTGCCTCATGTAGTTGTATTTTAAGATTGCCTTTAACCTCACCACTCTGAGAAAACTGTATCTTCTCACTTCTGTTTATGACATGGTCCCATATCTTCATCTTAGTCCTTCTGCCTCATGTAGTTGTATTTTAAGATTGCCTTTAACCTCACCACTCTGAGAAAACTGAATCTTCTCACTTCTGTTTATGACATGGTCCCATATCTTCATCTTAGTCCTTCTGCCTCATGTAGTTGTATTTTAAGATTGCCTTTAACCTCACCACTCTGAGAAAACTGAATCTTCTCACTTCTGTTTATGACATGGTCCCATATCTTCATCTTAGTCCTTCTGCCTCATGTAGTTGTTTTTTAAGATTGCCTTTAACCTCATCACTCTGAGAAAACTGAAACTTCTCACTTCTGTTTATGACATGGTCCCATATCTTCATCTTAGTCCTTCTGTTTCATGTAGTTGTATTTTAAGATTGCCTTTAACCTCATCACTCTGAGAAAACTGAATCTTCTCACTTCTGTTTATGACATGGTCCCATATCTTCATCTTAGTCCTTCTGCCTCATGTAGTTGTATTTTAAGATTGCCTTTAACCTCATCACTCTGAGAAAACTGAAACTTCTCACTTCTGTTTATGACATGGTCCCATATCTTCATCTTAGTCCTTCTGCCTCATGTAGTTGTATTTTAAGATTGCCTTTAACCTCATCACTCTGAGAAAACTGAAACTTCTCACTTCTGTTTATGACATGGTCCCATATCTTCATCTTAGTCCTTCTGCCTCATGTAGTTGTTTTTTAAGATTGCCTTTAACCTCATCACTCTGAGAAAACTGAAACTTCTCACTTCTGTTTATGACATGGTCCCATATCTTCATCTTAGTCCTTCTGTTTCATGTAGTTGTATTTTAAGATTGCCTTTAACCTCATCACTCTGAGAAAACTGAAACTTCTCACTTCTGTTTATGACATGGTCCCATATCTTCATCTTAGTCCTTCTGCCTCATGTAGTTGTATTTTAAGATTGCCTTTAACCTCATCACTCTGAGAAAACTGAAACTTCTCACTTCTGTTTATGACATGGTCCCATATCTTCATCTTAGTCCTTCTGCCTCATGTAGTTGTATTTTAAGATTGCCTTTAACCTCATCACTCTGAGAAAACTGAAACTTCTCACTTCTGTTTATGACATGGTCCCATATCTTCATCTTAGTCCTTCTGCCTCATGTAGTTGTATTTTAAGATTGCCTTTAACCTCATCACTCTGAGAAAACTGTATCTTCTCACTTCTGTTTATGACATGGTCGCATATCTTCATCTTAGCCCTTCTGCCTCATGTAGTTGTATTTTAAGATTGCCTTTAACCTCATCACTCTGAGAAAACTGAATCTTCCCACTTCTGTTTATGACATGGTCCCATATCTTCATCTTAGTCCTTCTGCCTCATGTAGTTGTATTTTAAGATTGCCTTTAACCTCATCACTCTGAGAAAACTGTATCTTCTCACTTCTGTTTATGACATGGTCCCATATCTTCATCTTAGTCCTTCTGCCTCATGTAGTTGTATTTTAAGATTGCCTTTAACCTCATCACTCTGAGAAAACTGAAACTTCTCACTTCTGTTTATGACATGGTCCCATATCTTCATCTTAGTCCTTCTGCCTCATGTAGTTGTATTTTAAGATTGCCTTTAACCTCATCACTCTGAGAAAACTGTATCTTCTCACTTCTGTTTATGACATGGTCCCATATCTTCATCTTAGTCCTTCTGCCTCATGTAGTTGTATTTTAAGATTGCCTTTAACCTCATCACTCTGAGAAAACTGTATCTTCTCACTTCTGTTTATGACATGGTCCCATATCTTCATCTTAGTCCTTCTGCCTCATGTAGTTGTATTTTAAGATTGCATTTAACCCCATCACTCTGAGAAAACTGTATCTTCTCACTTCTGTTTATGACATGGTCCCATATCTTCATCTTAGTCCTTCTGCCTCATGTAGTTGTATTTTAAGATTGCCTTTAACCTAATCACTCTGAGAAAACTGTATCTTCTCACTTCTGTTTATGACATGGTCCCATATTGTAAATATATGGTGATGTCTATAGCAACGTTTTCTCAAAAGGTGGAGTTAAATACCATTGGTCCATTGGGAATGAGACTGAAGAATGACATGATTGCAGAAAGGATGAGAGCTGAGCGTCTGAAAAGAAACGGACTAAACACAAATGTCGTTAACAATGGTCCTGAAATCTCATGCTATTATTGTGGAAGACTTTTCTTGACACGGGCGGGTCTTGCTAGTCACACTCGCCATCACCATGGGCTGTGAGTCTCATGTCTCCTCATTGCGCAATATAACAAACACTATCGTCTGGAAAGACGGAAAGGTGCCAATGAATGTGTGCGCTTGTGCGATGTTTAATAGACCAGGACTTGAATAAAGCAACTAAAAAAAGGGTTTACAGGGTTTCCCCAATGACCCTAGTGGCTTTTTTTAAAGCCAAGTTGATGTAAGATTTTCCTGTAAGCCTCATTGATAGAGGTCACAGCCTAATTGAGATGGTTGATTTGATAAAACGAGGTTATAGGTGTCAGTATTTATCTCATTCAGAAATATTCAGCTGTTAATTATGATTGGAAACTGGCGTGCAAATGACTGAAGATTAAACTAGGCTAGGATGCCCAGTTTCTGTTTTTAATGATGAAGTCATAGAACAGAAATATTTTTTGTGTTTAACAGATAAAGAATGTGGTACATAATGACAAAGAGACTTTTTTTTTCTCTTTGCGAGCGAGTATACATTGAGGAGGCACAAGTAGATCATTACGGTCTGAGGTGAATGGCGAGTTAACCAGAGGATCTGGCTGATGCTCAACACTCAGGGGAAAGACCAGATGGACGTACAGTTAGATGACTGGTCCCATTGAAGTTGGAACCTTTCGTTTGCTGCTGAAGGTGGGGATGGAGTGCTTATGGGAGTGCTTTGATGTTGATTCTTAATTCAGCATTCCACTAAAATGTTACAGATCACCTCTTGGGTAACATCAGATTAATCTGCCATCATCCTCACGGTCAGATAATTGATCTTTTTATATCTGTTATGGACCTCCCCATTTGGGTTCTTGTGCCACATTGTAGAGAAACAAGAACAGACTCACTGCCTCCATAAAGCATGTCATCAGAGTCGTCCAGTTAGGAGTACTTCCTTCATAGTCAGAGTGCAACTGTCTGAGAGGCAAGGAACCAATAGTCTGCATACGGATCTGTTGTAAACAGATTTGCTTGCAACACTTAAAATCTGGAACAAGACTGAAGTCCAGAAGTGGGCGAACAACCAGAACTTTCTGCTGGAGTTTACAGCTGGTGAATGCGAACAAGAAGAAGAGAAGGTTCTGTGACTAGCAGTTGTGAACAGAAATAAGGCGTCCTAAAGAAGAAGTATAATGAAAACACCTGTAGTGAAATAAAAATTCTCTCATGTTCCTCCCCAGGGCTATGATCTGTTGATGACCGCACTAAGAGACCCCAAAGAAAAGGTGCAGAGAGCCACGCTGCAGGTGTTCCTCCCTGCCCTGGGCATGTGGTCAAGAGAACTTGGTCGACTGGAACACCATCTCATACATAATCTACTGAAGCACCTTGAGGACACAGTTAAGGCAATTCCATATTTTGCTTTGGCTTTGGCGTATCACTATATTAACTCTTTCCCTTATGCCTCCAAGACTGGCATTCCCTGCTCCTGCACGAGTTAAAGTGTAATTCTCTAGAAGGAACCTGATCTTTCAGGAAGAATATTAATTCAGTTACTATGAACTTACGAGTCTGGAAGGAAATAATTTAAGACTTGAGGTTTTTACTACCTTCTTATTCTCTTCCCCTATGTCCTTCTTTTTTTTTTTTGACTCCTGCTTTTTCTGCTACAGACACCTTCACATTTACTTCGTCTTCTCAGTGTAAACTCTAGAAGAAAGTTCTGGTTGTTTATCCACTTGTAGACTTTGGTCTTGATCTAATACTTGAAGAGTCTGTGATAGTGCACTTTATAGTTTGTTTGCAGGCTTATTTATATGCAGGCTGTTAGTTCCTTGTGGTCTCTCATGCAGATGTACTCTGACATTGAAGGAAACACCCTTAAGAAGTCGCTTCCTACAACATGCTTGTTGAAGGTCCTGGGTCTTTTCTTTCTTTCCAAATTCGAGCCACAGACAATACCTTCAGATGTCAGCTTACAAAATGGGTTAACATCTCCATACAGTTCTTTATGCACTTTGAACCATTCAGCTCATAACTGCAGTTTGCTAGGTCAGTACATCACTCATCTTGTATCAGCTGCTCTTCTTCTTCTTTGTTCACCAGCTGTAAGCTCCAGCGGAAAGTCCTGGGTGCTCTTCCATTTGGACTTTGGCTTCGTGCCAGGTCTTAAGTTTTGCGTATATACCCATTTATTTGTGTGCAGTTGGTTGTTCCTTGCCGCTCGGGCAGATGCACTCCGTTTTGAAAGGCAGTCCCCAGTTAGTCAGCTCCTACGACGTGCTTGTTGGGAAGGCAATGGGTCCATTCTTGTTTTCCCCCATAATGGGACCCCAGAACCCACACGGGGAGTATCAGCTGATGAGGCCAGTTCTTTGCTGGTTGAAAATTCTTTGGTTCCCTGTTTAGTTTTTGTCTGGGAAAATCTAGCCTGGCAGGAATCAGCTTCAGTTTTATGCCAGAGCACTCTAGGGTAAGAGGGAATGAACGAGTGGACTGGCTGGCTGGCTGACAAGGCCAAGATAGGCACAGGAAAAGCAGTGGACCGGGCCCATTGTTCACAGTGCTCTCAAAGAGGCAGGACAAGTAGATGATTCAGCAGACAGTTGTCTTTTACTGCATGCTTGTTATACAGGCAGTGGGTCAACTCATCCCACCGACCTGAATGGGTCTCGTGGGCCCAGATGGTAAGACTAGCGATTAAACCTAGACAAATGTTTTAACTAACAGCCAGACCTGTTTGCCTTTCCCGGCCCGTCTACACACTTTCTCAGTCTGATCCAGGTCAGAGGGGTGTCACGTTGTACTGCTTTCTTCAAAAAGAATCTCTCGTGTGAGGTAGGTTGAAGCTAGGGAGGTTTGGGTTAGGGTCAGTTCTACATGTTCTGGGTTTGTCAAAAGCTGTGTCATTGTGCAGTATAGAAGACCCGGCATCGGCGCTGATGTATTGGAAGGAAGACATCGTTACACCCCTTTGACGTAGAAAATTCTGAGAAAGTATGAATGAAAGGTCAGGTAGTGTGTAGATGGGCCTAGAAATGTGAACAGGACCGCAAACCTACTAATTGTTACGCCACTATAGAGATGAAATCAGGATTGTCTTTGAGGAATTTAGGAATTTTTCTTCACAGTCGGTGACACATAAATACTATAAAAGCAGAACTTGTGCACATGTGAAAAAGCAAAGAGAAATACATGTAAAATAAAACAGCGTAGTAGTTTGATTTCTTTGCCAGGTAAGATCTAATCTTTGTGCAGGGTGTGCCAGTTTTAGTCTTTGCTTATTACAGCTTTGGCCTTTAGTCAACTGTTTCATTCTGGTACCACACAGAGCCATACACTTAATATTGTAGCCACACTTGACACCAGTGATTTCATATATTATCTCCTCATATTTGAATTACAGCTCTCTGAACTAAGTTTCCTAATCAGTATTTTGTAATAACCTTTGTTTATAGTTTGAAGATTTCTTATCTAAAGTTAAAGGTTAAAGTTGAGAGGAATGACTTCATTGCACTGGGTTTGATCCCATATGGCTCAGTCTCTCTTCACTGAACGGCTAGCCGCCTGCAGAAAGCTTCACACAGAGTTCAAATTAGATGTGTTGTGCCAAAAGGTGCAGATCTCGCAGCCTTGCTTTAAATGACAGTACAATGTGCTTACTGCACTTTAAAGAGGAGATGCAGAAGAAGAAGAAGAGGAAGAAGAAGAAGAAGAAGAGGAGAAAGAAGAAGAAGAAGGAGAAACAAGAAACTCACAGCAAATAAACCATTTTCTAATGTACCAGCATGCTTTCAGGTGGAGGTAATCTCTTGACTAACATTTTTAAAATTTCCTTTGACAACCACAACTAACATTTCTAATTTCTTGTGAGAAAAATTTACAGAATTCAGATTTGGTATTTTTCATCTTCATTTTCTTTGTGTGGTTTAGCATTCTGCTGCGTCTATCGCTTTGTAATCTGAGATATCCGGCTCAATTCCGGCTGTGGGTGATTTGGCAGCAAACCGCTTTGCGCTGATTTTGACAGTGGTACCGATAGCTGACCGTTCAGAGGGCAGTGGCAAACTAATGAACTTGAAATTACATAGTAAAACCAGACAGACAAACACATTACAAATGCTGGGGCTTGTTCTGCAGTGTTCTGTTCAGGATATGCTGCTAACTTTTAAAAAACAATCATTTAACTCTTTGAGCCCCAAGGAACTCATCATATGTTCATAGGTTACTGCCTAGAAGCCCAATGAACGCAAGATGCGCCAATTTTATGTTTCTCTTGACTAGGTCTTGGGCCTGTGATGCTAAACCCTCTGGGACTCGAGTTAAGCATACCACTTGTTTCTTTCTTTCTTTCTTTCTTTCTTTCTTTCTTTCTTTCTTTCTTTCTTTCTTTCTTTCTTTCTTTCTTTCTTTCTTTCTTTCTTCTTTTTCTTTCTTTCTTTCTTTCTTCTTTCTTTCTTTCTTTCTTTCTTTCTTTCTTTCTTTCTTTCTTTCTTTCTTTCTTTCTTTCTTTCTTTCTTTCTTTCTTTTCTTTCTTTCTTTCTTTCTTTCTTTCTTTTTCTTCTTTCTTTCTTTCTTCCTTCCCTTCCTTCCTTTTTCTTTCTTTCTTTCTTTCTTTCTTTCTTTCTTTCTTTCTTTCTTTCTTTCTTTCTTTCTTTCTTTCTTTCTTTCTTTCTTTCTTTCTTTCTTTCTATCTTTCCCTATTTAATTTCTTCTATATCTTTCTTTCTGTCTATCCTTTCTCACTTTTCTTCTGGCCAAGGGTACAGAAAAGAGTGGTATCTTGTAGGTTAGTACATGTGTCCAAACAAGCACACTTTAAAGGTACAAGGCAAGCAGTACTTCCACAAAATGGGAAACTAGATCAGATCATCTGTCTCACCTCAAACCCCTCTTACAGCATAAGGCAGTATTGGTCAGCACATAAAAACATCTGATACAAAGCAAATATTAATTCCCACTTCATGCTACCAGTGATAGAAATGTTTGCTGGAAAAATTAGTAACTATGGAAGTGAGATGTCTGAGAAGAGCTGCACGAGTGATCAGAAGTAAATATTTTAGAGACTGAGTTAAAACATGGGGCTGGATGCACATTATATATTCTATAGACTGGTTTATAACATGGACTGGATGCACATTATTTATTCTAGAAACTGGTTTATAACATGGCGCTGGATGCACATTATATATTCTAGAGACTGGTTTATAACATGGCGCTGGATGCACATTATTGATTCTAGAGACTGGTTTATAACATGGCGCTGGACGCACATTTTTAATTTTCGAGACTGGTTCATAACAGGGAGCTGGATGCACACTGTTTATTGTAGAAACTGGTTTATAATATGGAGCTGGATGCACATTATATATTCTAAAGACTGGTTTATAACATGGAGCTGGATGCACATTATATATTCTAAAGACTGGTTTATAACATGGAGCTGGATGCACATTATATATTCTAGAGAATGGTTTATAACATGGAGCTGGATGCACATTATATATTCTAGAGACAGGTTTATAACATGGAGCTGGATGCACATTATTTATTCTAGAGACTGGTTGATAACATGGAGCTGAATGCACATTATTTTATCTAGAGACTGGTTGATAACATGGAGCTGGATGCACATTATTTTATCTAGAGACTGGTTTATAACATGGAGCTGGATGCACATTATTTTTTCTAGAGACTGGTTGATAACATGGAGCTGGATGCACACTGTTTATTGTAGAAACTGGTTGATAACATGGAGCTGGATGCACATTATATATTCTAGAGACTGGTTGATAACATGGAGCTGGATGCACATTATTTATTCTAGAGACTGGTTGATAACATGGAGCTGGATGCACATTATTTTATCTAGAGACTGGTTGATAACATGGAGCTGGATGCACATTATTTATTCTAGAGACTGGTTGATAACATGGAGCTGGATGCACATTACTTTATCTAGAGACTGGTTGATAACATGGAGCTGGATGCACATTATTTATTCTAGAGACTGGTTGATAACATGGAGCTGGATGCACATTATTTATTCTAGAGACTGGTTGATAACATGGAGCTGGATGCACATTACTTTATCTAGAGACTGGTTGATAACATGGAGCTGGATGCACATTATTTATTCTAGAGACTGGTTAATAACATGGAGCTGGATGCACATTATTTATTCTAGAGACTGGTTGATAACATGGAGCTGGATGCACATTATTTATTCTAGAGACTGGTTGATAATATGGAGCTGGATGCACATTACTTTATCTAGAGACTGGTTGATAACATGGAGCTGGATGCACATTATTTATTCTAGAGACTGGTTGATAACATGGAGCTGGATGCACATTTTTTATTCTAGAGACTGGTTGATGACATGGAGCTGGATGCACATTTTTTT